TCACTTATCCAAAGAGTTGTTTTCATTGGACAGAATCAAATGGTCCTTTGTTATTTTGTCTTGCCTCACTCAATGTTCAAACAATACAAAATCTGCACATGGCAATAGCTAAAACTGTTGGCTTTAGTGAGATGGGTCTCAAGTTGGCATTTGTAGTGTGTGGAACTTGAGATTCCATGGCAGGTGCAATCTAAACAGCTGGAATCAGATATTTCTAGAATCAGATCAGTCCTTAATTTTACAGTTACTACATCAGAAAAAGACACCTTGAAACCTCGTCAACAGTGTTGACAGCTGGCAGAAACAAATTACTCAACTGTCAAAAAGCTGTCAATCAACCGTTTTGACAGCTGTCAAAAAGCTATTGTGTTTCTAACTGTCGAAACAGTTTTGAAACACACTGTGGCAACCTTGCAACCACGCGCTGCAATTGCGAGCTGACGTCAGCACCATCGCCTGAAATTTCGCGCAGAAGAAATGTCGGGCTGACGTCAGCAGCGACACCCGAATTTCGCGCGCGAGAAATCACAACTGACGTCAGCTGCGTCGCGCGAAAATAATCGCTGCTGACGTCAGCTTTCTTGCTCGAAAGTTCGCAGAAGTTTCTTAGAACGACCTTTCTGCGTAATTTCGAATTTGCGCTGCTGACGTCATCCGAAAAAATCGCGCGATAAAGGCAGCAGCACTTTCTCAGTGAAAACGATTGATAACTGGAAATATGGGAAAAATATATATCTAAAACTATTTCTATTTGTATACTTCCATAAATATATTCAAAACAAAAAGAAAACAAACTATCACCATCATGTGTACAAAACCATCACCATCATTTTGGTTTAGGTTGTCGAAATAACAGACTGGAATGGCTGTACTAACAGAAGGCTGGATACAAATAGGAAACCCTAATCCAGTGTACCCCCTAAGGCGTAACCCACTACAGCCTACAACCATATAAACATATAATGTTTGACACACCCCCATAGGCGAAGTGGGGAGACCTGGGGGTCACACGACCAGTCAGGGCAAAGCAAGGCAAAGCAAGCTCAGGGTGGATCTCGAGGATTCCACACAAATTCCGAGCACAAGCTAGTGGTCACAAGACCAGTTCACATGCAGGTTTATAACAGAGCAAGAGATACAGTGATCACAACCTAGCAAGAGTAAACATGCAGGTAGATATATATATAGTGATCACAGTACAAGCAAAGTCAAGAGGTAAGCAAGTGAGGTCCAGTAGGCACAAGGCCTAGTAGAGTGCAGAAGCGCTGATGGTCACGAGGCTGAAGCGCCTTGGTGAACACATCAGCAGTGTTGGCCTCAGTGGCCACGTAGCGAATACAAAGCTGACCACGCTGCTGCAACTCTCGAGCAAGGAAGTACCGCAGGGCAATGTGCTTCGTTCTGTGCTCCAGTCTGTGCTCCTCACACAAGGCAATGGCAGCCTTGTTGTCGACGTACAGCACTGGAGGAGAACGAGGCCGCTCTCCGAGGTTGGTCAGCAGGTAGGTCAGCCAGCGTAGCTCCTGAGCAGCCATGGCTGTGGCGTAGATCTCAGCCTCACAACTGGAGCCGAGAACAGAAGAAGAGCGCGTAGAGCGCCAAGAAACTGAGCCAGAGCCAAGGATGAAGGTGTAACCCTGAGACGACCGCTGAGTAGCCTGATCGTCTGCCCAAGAAGCGTCTGAGTGCCCTGTGAGAACAACTTGGTCTCGCCCTCCAAGCACAAGCCCCATGCCCGACGTACTGCACAAGTAGCGCAACACCCTCTTAGCGGCATCCATGTGCTCCTTCCTGTGACGGCCAGGAGCGACATAGTGTGCAAGGATGCTAAGAGGGTATGCAAGGTCAGGTCGAGTGCAGGTCATCAGGTACATGAGGCAGCCCACAAGCTCTGGATACGGGCCACTCGGCTCTACGGACTCGTCCGAAGGCAGAGCTGAGAGCGAGTGACCGGTAGGCAGAGGAGTGGACTGAGGCGAGGAGTACGTGAAGCGGAAGCGCTGGAGAACCTGCTGCACCATGTGTGACTGAGTCAGGGTGATGGTGCGCCGTGCTCTGTCCCGGGTGATCCGCAAGCCAAGATAGCTTGTCAGCTCACCCAGGTCTGTGCACGTGTGTCTCCTCTGCAGCTCCGACTTCACGTAGGCGAGTCCTGCAGTGTCAGCAGTGGCAAAGACTAAGTCGTCGACGTACACGAGGATGTAGAACGGCGGCAGCGAAGTGTCTGTGCGCAGGAACAGCGACGGGTCAGCTGTAGAAGGCGCGAACCCAAGAGCCGCAAGTGTAGTCCTCAGTGTATCGTGCCACTCACGAGGAGCCTGGCGGAGACCGTAGACCGGCCGCTGAAGCCTCCACTGGGTACCAGGAGGAAAGGACCCAGTGAAGCCAGGTGGGCGGCGCAGCCAGATCTCCTCGTGCAGGCTGCCCTGCAAGAACGCAGTGCTGAAGTCAAGTGAGTGAAGCTCGTAGTCGCGGTGAGCGGCTATGTGCAGCAGCACCCGAAGAGTAGTCATCTTCGGGGTGGGGGAGAAGGTCTGGAAGAAGTCAACTCCCTCTCGCTGACTGAAGCCTCGAGCCACGTAACGTGCCTTGAAGACAGGCGGAGAACCCGGCGGCCGCTTCACCCTGAAAATCCACATGCCACTGACGATGTTCGCCCCAGGAGGGGGAACCTCGTCAACGTAGGTGCGTGTGGACTTCCAGGTGTCAGAATCCCAGCCACTAACCACTGGGATAAAAGGGCTTGTTTGTATAGCGGGTGAGTGCGCCCATAACCCCCCAGGCCGACATGCCTGTAACCCTTCCCTAGGATCATCGGGGATCCCCAGTGGACCTCTGACACCCCCCCGCACTGGGATGCCCGAGGTGCACACACCGGGAATCGAACCCGAGACCTTCGCTTTGATACCATGTCAGAATCCCAGCCACTAACCACTGGGATAAAAGGGCTTGTTTGTATAGCGGGTGAGTGCGCCCATAACCCCCCAGGCCGACATGCCTGTAACCCTTCCCTAGGATCATCGGGGATCCCCAGTGGACCTCTGACACCAGGAAGCCATCTCGGCGTCCATGGCTGTCTGCCACTGAGAGGAGTAGGGACCCGCCATCGCCTCAGCGTAAGTGCGCGGGGTCGGGATGTCTGGTGCATCCGGGTCTCCCTCAGGGGCAACTAGCAAGGACACGAGACGGGGCAAAGCAGCAGCAAGACACTGGAACTCCTCCTGTCTGTCCTCAAGGACGTCCGTGCCAAGAGCACACTCACCCCCGACGGACGGAGGACAGACAGACTCAGACTCAGACTCAGGAACAAGGCTAGCAGCGTAGTCTAGACGGCAGGCAGCAGCAAAGTCAACCAACTCAGTGACCAGAGCAGACGCAGTCGAGGACTCAAAGGTAGGGTCAGTGACAACAGTAGCGAGGAGACGCGTGACAGTAGGGTGCTCAGCACGAAACCGGTCAGACTCAGGGTCCGGAACGTCAGGCAAAGAGGACGCAGGAGGAGACGGTAGCGGGACACGCTGAGGAGCAGTGGAGGGACGCAGGGTCATGTAGTGAGTGCCAGGGACAGGAGGAGGACGCTCACGACGGACACGACTACCAGTGCGAGCAGGACGAACAGGCGACGCAGGACGAGACTCAGGCTCACGACGCTCTGTAAGACCTCCTGTGGGACCAGTGTAAGGAGAGGGAGCAGGAAGAGGCGAGGTAGGCGGTAACTGTGACTGCGGCTGGACAGGCGGAGGACACTCTACGGAGGGAGGAGGACAAGGAGGAGGAGCCTGCCCAAGAACCTGCTGAAGGAGCGGTACGAAGTACGGTCGCGGCCGCGTAGCGTCTCCAGAAGCAGAAGAGACTCCAGCGGCCGGGTCCTCAGTACCAGCAGTAGCTCCAGCGTCCGGGTCCACAGCACCAGCAGCAGCTCCACCGGCCGGGTCCTCAGCACCAGTAGCAGCTCCAACGCCCGGGTCCTCAGCCCCAGTAGCAGCTCCACCGTCCGGGTCCGCAGCACCAGCAGCAGCTCCACCACTCGGGTCCTCAGCACCAGCAACAGCGCCACCGCTCGGGTCCTCAGCACCAGTAGCAGCTCCAACGCCCGGGTCCTCAGCAGCAGCAGCAGCGCCACCGCTCGGGTCCTCAGCTCCAGCAGCAGCTCCAACGTCCGAGTCCTCAGTACCAGCAGCAGCGCCACCCCCAGGGTCCGCAGCACCAGGAGCACCACTCCGAAGACTGCAGCGCCGGGTGTACCACTCGCGGATCTGCTGAATGGGGGGGAGCTCCTGGGTAGGAGGGGAAGTACCGGGACGAGCTCCAGCAGCACCTCTTCGGAGGCGGCAGTACTCGAGGTACCTCTCCTGCAGCTGCTGGGAGGAGAGGGCTCCTCCAGGTGTCGCACGCTCAGGCTCAGCACCTCCAGACTCAGCACCCCCAGACTCAGCACCCCCAGGCTCAGCACCTCCAGGCTCCGCACCTCCAGGCTCAGCACCCCCAGGCTCCGCACCCCCAGACTCAGCACTCCCAGGCTCAGCACCCCCAGACGCAGCACCCCCAGGCTCAGCACCCCTAGCAGGACGAGAGTCGACAGCTACCTCGACAGGCTCACCCGGGTCTACCTGGGACACACCTGAGGGAGCGGCACCCTGAGGGGGGAGGGGGTCTGGTACCTCAGCACCTGGAGCGAGGAAGAGAGGCGGGGGGGGGAGCGGGGCAGTGCGGTAGGGGAAGAGGAGGGAGCACCCTGGGAAGACCAGCAACAAGGTCCCGTTTGTGCATGGCCCGAAGGCGCTGCACAGACGGGTGACCAAGGCGGTGGTGCCAAAGGACAGTCTCATGCGCCAGAGAGCGACACGAGCAGGGGGCGGACAGCTGACCTGACGCAGACGCAGACGTAGACGCAGACGCAGCTACCTGAGGGGACTCAGTGGTCAGTGTGTACAGGTCCGACCCCGGCTCTCGAGTGAAAGTAGCCAGGTGGCGACCCGTCCGAGCACACGTGCAGTGTGTCACGCGCTCGTAGGCAGGGGTGAACTGGTGAACACCCCCGTCCTGGAGTGCACTACCTGCCACCAAGTTCGTAGAGAACGAGGGGAGGTAGAGACCTGACAGCGTGCCGGACGGGACCGCCGGACAAGGAAGGACAGTGGAGGAGGTCGCAATGACCGGACCCCCAGAGGGGTCAGCAAGGGAGACCGCAACTGGCCGAGCAAGTGGCTCAAGGACAGTGCGGTCACGAAAGAAAGAGCGAGAAGCACCCGAGTCCAGTGTGAAGGTGTGCAGTGCTGCAGTCGACTCAGTACCAGGGGGCACAGACGCACTAGCACCTAGGGCAGCAGCCTCACCAGGACCTGTGGGAGCGGACGCACTAGCACCTAGAGCGGCAGCCGGACTGGCCTGAATGCCCGGGTCGGGCGGAACACGCAAGTACTGAGCACCCTCTCCACTAAGAGACATCGCATACATGGCAGTGAGAATAGCATCAAAGTCTAGAGCCCAAATATCAACACCCCTCTTTTCCAGCTCAGCCCAGCGTGGCAGCTCAGTGGCACTAGGAAACTGGGTGCGCCACGCGTCGTTAAGGCGCGCGAAGCAGCGCTGCATGGGGTGCGGCCTCCCACACTGCTGGCCGCTGCGGTCACCTGTGCGAATAACGTACGTGCAGGTAACGCCACGCTGCGCATACCACTCACGGGCGGCCTGAAGCGCCGAGGCGGGCTGCTGACTCTGCCCTCCGCCAGTGCCTCCACGACCACCACCCCCACCGCCTCCGCCCCGGCCACCTCCACCCCTGCCGCCACCACGACCACCTCCGCCCCCGCTGCCGCCTCCGCCCCTGCCACCACTCCCGCCGCTGCTGTCTCCTCCCCCACTGCCGCCACCGGCCTCCTCAGCCGCGCCTCCACTCCCACCGCCTCCACCCCCACCTCCTCCGCCGCCACCCCCACCCCTGCCCCCCTTGTTCCTGCGGCGCCCGCTCGAAGCAGACGCGGTCCCGACCTTCTCAGCACCGAGGAGGTCGACAGCAGCAGCAGAGGCGACAGAGGGGAGGAGGGGGGAAGGGGAACACCCCTCAAAGAACGGGGTGCGGGGGTCGCCACGAGAGGTGCCTACAGCGACGATACTCGCCTCAGCTGCAAGCAGTTCCTTCTCGAGGAGGGCAACAGTGAGCTCAGTGGGGGAGCGAGAGAGGAAGTGGTCCCTGACTGCGCGCAGAGAGTCAGGGAGGCGGGTGACGATGTGGTAGAGAGTGATCCAGAGCGGGGGGGGTTGCTAGTGAGAAACTCGGCAGGCATAGCAGCGCGAAAGCGGGCCTCACTAGTCTTAAGGTGGGTGATGAGGTCTGCAACAGTGTGAAAGGAGGCTAGGTCGGGGAACAGGTAGGGGAGAGTGAGGCGGCCTAGCGTGGCAGAAGCGGGTGAGGAGTAGCGGGCAACTACAGCGGTGTAGAGGTCCTTAGCAGTCTTGCACTGGCCGAAGTGCTCGCGCTCATCTAGCGGCAGGGAGTTGCGAATAGCAAAGCGAGCATGCGCATCACGGGTCTGCCACTGGGAACGCAGAGTGCTGTCAGCAGTCGAGTCAGGGGCAGTGGCATGGCCTAGGGCGTGGTCGTACAGTGAGATATCTTCCTTGGCAGTGAGCTGTAGGAACAGGTGCAGGTCATCTAGCCAGGTTTCGAACTTCACCGGACGGCCCTCGGCATCGAAAGCTAGAACGGGAGGACTAGCCATAGCGACAGTAGCAGTAGCAGTAGTAGTAGGAATCAGGCCGCTGGAAAGGTGTGCGGAGGGTCAACGGGGCCGGCGGGGCCGCTAGGTAAGGCGCGGGCGGGGTCGACTGTCCGTAGTGGCACACGAGCGGCAATAGTAGGTAGCGTGGCAGCAGGAGCTGCAACGGCGCACTGGTGGTAGCTGCAGTGGTAGCAGTGTGCGCGGTAGGTAGTAAATAAACAGCAGTGAGAGCGAGTGCCTCGCGGGCGGCGGCTGCAGAAGCGCACGGGCGGCAGCGGCGCACGGGGAACGGTGGCGCACGGGCAGCGGCAGGCGTGCGCGAGCAGGCGACGGGCGGCTGCGGGGCGTGCGCGAGCAGGCGACGGGCAGTAGCGGCGCACGGCAGTGGCTGCGGCGGCGGCAGCGAGCACGGCAGCAGCAGCAGCAGCAGCAGCAGCAGTGCACGGGCGGTAGTAGCGGCGGCAGCGGCTGCGGGCACGGCAGAAACGCGGGAGCGGCAGCGGGCGACTCGCGGGCAGCAGCGGCAGCAGCAGCGGGGGACCGGCGGGCGGCAGCTGCAGCGGTGCAAATCGCGGGCCGGCGGGGCCGCGGCGGGCTGTGCGCTAGCGACGCAAAGGCGTGCGAGCAGTGCGCGGGCAGTGCGACGGGGCCGGCAGCGGGCAGCACGCAGGCCGCGGGGGTAAAATGCGGGCTGCGTGCGCGGTGCGCGGGCCGGTAGCGGGCGGTGCGCGGGCCGTTAGGGGCGATCGCAAGGCCGACGGGGCCGCTAAGGGGCGAGCGGCGGGGTCGTTCGAGGCGCTAAGGGGCGGCGCGACGGGGCCGTGAGGGGCCTCTAGGTCAAATGCGACGGGGCCGCGGGGCCTCTAGACGGGGCTCGATCGACGGGGCCAGCGGGGCCGAATAAAAAAATAATAATAATAATGAAGCGCTCGAGGGCGCTACGGGGGAGGCGCTAAGAACACGCTCCGGCAGTAAGTAGGTAGTTAGGTAGCGAACGGTGGGCCCTTAGGAACGGTCCTAGAGAAGGACCTGCTCTGAAACCATGTCGAAATAACAGACTGGAATGGCTGTACTAACAGAAGGCTGGATACAAATAGGAAACCCTAATCCAGTGTACCCCCTAAGGCGTAACCCACTACAGCCTACAACCATATAAACATATAATGTTTGACATAGGTTTCAACAAACAAAATAACATACGAAACGGAGTTTCATATCAAAACATAAAAGAAAACAAACTTTATTTTAATCCGAATGTAACAAACAGATTAACGTTGTTCAAACTTACAATTGTTGCTTCGCAACCCTAAGACGATTTCGTCGCCTCTTGTTTTTTTTTTTGCTAAGTCATAGCTTGCATGGGGACCGTGTACCACAAAGGCCAGCAGCCTCGGTTATACTTCCAATATAATAATACAACTAGAGGCCACCCGGGCTCAACCTTAAATGCACACCGCACACGCACACACACACACACTTTTTTTTTTTTTTTTCAATGGCCTAGAGCAATCCTTGCCTCTAGCCTAGGCTGAACAGCCTACCCAAGGACCCCCTGGTCCTGCCCTGCCCTTCCACCAACTCTTTTTCAAGGCAACAAGACGGAGGCCGCCTTGTAGCAATGAGAGGAGAAGTGGCAAGGGGCACTCGGGCTTCACTCACACCACCGGTGCGGGCCCATTGCCCCCATGGCCTCCATGGGGACATGCGCTGGCCATGTGGCCCTGCTGGCCGCAGCGGAAGCAGGTGCCCTTGAAGCCGCGGCAGCCGGTTCCCCCTCCCATGCCCTTCGGCATGAAGGCGACGGATTCCCGAGGAAAAGAACGGTTCCCGCGAGGGGGACCGGTCTTCATACGCTTAAGCGCCGCCATATCCGCCACCGCCATCTTGAAGGAGCGCGAGGTAAGCACTGCTGTAGTCTTCAGCAGCTGGTAGCGCTCAGCGACATCGAAGCCCGCATGGTCGGCGACGACCAACACGTCAAAACGACGCTTGATAAGGTCTTGGGCTTGGCCGACGGTCTTGATCGCGCCGGTGGTGTCGCCGCTGCGGATTTTGTGCTCCACGTGTGCCAAGTAGATCTGGAGCGCTTCGAAGACCTCAGCCTGGTCGCGGACGCCTTTGAGGTTGAAGGCGGCGGCCGCGGTCGAAGGGTGAGAAGAGGGGAGAGGGGGAAGGAGATCGTTAGGCAAATTCGAAATAGGGTTGTTCGGCTCCTCACCCTCGTCGCTGTCGGAGTCGGAGTCGATGTCAGCAGGGGGAGCCGGTTCTTCATCGACAGCAGGGGCCTTTCCTTTGTCGGCGCGAGTTGTTGCGGCGACACGCGCGGAAGTAGAAACGTTGTTGCGCGCGTTTGCAGTTTTAGCTGATGCAGAAATTTCTTCGTTTGTAGCTGTAGGCGCTTTTGCGGGAGTCGCGGCCTGCTTCTGGAGGAGCGCCAACAGTGCCGCGAGTTGGGAGGGCGAAAGATTCGCTGCCGCCCCGTCTGACGCGGCCGAATCCGTCGCCCTCCTTTTGGGGGGGCCGCGAGATCCGCTCGGATCTGCAGCGGCGGCGGCAGGGGTGGCGACGAAATCGCCATCATTGCCGCCGCCTGCAGGCCCTCGAGCCTGCGTGTGGGTCGCGCGTGGCTGGGACGGTCGCGCGACTGTGCCGCCCTCGCCGAGCAGCACGTCGACCCCCGTGTGGGTGCCTTCGGCGTGATTGTCGGCGGGGCGCTTCCTTTTCTCCGCGCTTGTTTCCCGGGGCGTTTTTTAAAGCCCCGTCGACTGACGCGCGGGCGAGTCCTTAGCCCCGGGGGTATTATTGTTGGTCGTCGCCATCGTCGATAAGTTCCGCTCCAGTATGTCGGAGAGAAGCGTTGACGGAAAAGTGAAGCGAGGCAGAGTCTTGAGCCTCGCCAGCTTGGACGAAAAATCTAGAAACTTGAAATTGAAAGTTCGAAATGAAAACGTGGGTGAAGGCCAAATGGCCTTCGCCCCCTCTTTTGTACCAAAAAGAGGGGAAGTAGCGGTTCGCCGAAGCCTTTGCTTCGGTACAACTCGCTTCGCTATTCACAATACACAATTTTGAATAGTGTTGCACACTTTAAAAATTTTACATTTTGGAGAAACATTTTCGACAGTTTCTCGGGTGTGGCATAGCTGTGATCTGGTACATTGCCAGCTCAGAGTTCCACCGCTGGTTCAATACGTGTCACTCCCTGGTTAGGTTTGCAATTCCGAAGTTCCGAAGTGGTAACTCAACCCTTAGAGCAGCCCGAGCCTATCTGCGACCAGCAATGTCTCATCCCAGCGTGATTTCAGTTTCTCGTGTCGATTCAAGGTTCGGTAGAGCAGTTGGTAGACAACCCTGGTTTCCGAGCCTGAAACCTGCTCCCTGATCCCTTCATTTTCGACACAAACTGACCACCCCACTGCTCTTTGCCGTCTTAACCGCTCTGTAACGTACCACATCTTACCGAACCGTATTTCAAAGAGCTTCTGACAGGACACCAAGGGCGAAAACTGGTGCCCTGCAGGCTACGGTTCTTGAAACCCTTCCTCTCCAGTGTTCTCATCTCCCCCCTCCCCCTTCGCAAATCGGAACAAGGCCTGAAGTAGATATTGGAACTTCGAACTTCGCTTCATGCAGTTCAGTGTGTCGCCGTCACTGTGTCACCTTTCTTCGTGAAACCTCAGTTTGCAGTGGAGAGCTTCTGTTATCAGCTCTTGTGCCTGGGAACGCCACTTACCATTTCAGGGTCGCACTTTCAGGCGACACAGGTCTTCTTAGATCTTATCAATTTGAATCTAAGCCATGGAACCGCAGTCCGAATCCAACACCCCGAGCCCTGAAGCTCCAGCAGCACCACCTCCATTCCAACAAGCATTGATTGCAGCCGCTGAACATAATCAAGATTCAGGGAAACTTGAAGACACGGGTGACATCGGAAACACAGCTACAGCAGGAGGCGCAGCTCCTGCTGATGAAAACGCAACAGCTGTTGAAAACACAACAGCTATTGAAGCCTTAGCGGCTATTGAAGCCGCCGAAGCCGCTCCGTCCAGTACTCCTCGAGGCGACTCCGTCGGAACAGCAGGAGACGATGGCGGACTTAATGCCGACACGGCGGCTAACGCTAATCGCGGACATTGGAGAGAGGACGAGGTCATCGAGCTCGTTAAAGCCCACGTGGAGCTGGACCCCGAGTACCACATCATGCGAGGCGTTCAAGGCTCCAACTACTACGGCGAATTGTACCGCATTCTGCGGGCGAAATTTCCCGATTTCCGTCACACGGAGGGGTCCGTCAAGACGAAGCTGTTCCGCCTGAAAGGACAGTACCTGCAGCTGCGAGATCGGATCGAGCGGTCCGCATCTGGTGCTCCTCGAAATCTGCCGGAATGGTTTGTCTTACTGGATACTGTCATGGCTCGGGAGTCCAGCAACCGACAGAACGCGACAGCGACGAACCAGCAAGGCTCTCGGTCAACGCACCCGTCGACTAACTCAGGTACGACTCTGCTCGAAACGCCGCCAATTCTACGCGCGTTGCTCGTCTGTCCGTTTGTTTGTTTGTTTGTTTGTTTGAAACGCTTTTGTCACGTTCGAACTGTTTTAAGACCATTACGCTCTTGGCACACCTATTTACGATCTTCCATCCATGGAAGTACAGACCTCCTAACGTTTCATAAAGGATAATTGTGATTTCGTGTGCAGGTCGTATGGCAGCCCTGCTCACGAATGCCGGCCAAGAGAGGAAGCTTCTTTCCGCTGAGACGCCAGCATATGCGTTTCCCGTCACGCCAACGTGGCCAGACACAGCAGGCCAGAGCGGACTTGCAAGAAACAGCCTGTTTCCGAATGTGGCTTCAACACCAGAACCACCCATTTCAGCTCCTTCTCCTCTACCAGCAGCAAGTTCTCTGTTCACAGGTGGTGGCGGATCGGGCAGTTATTTGCTATCTCTGCGTAACTCCATTACTCCTGTTCCTACTCGGGAGACTGGTAGGCTGAGGATGGGAGCTGGTGGGCTGGGAGAGGGAAGGAAGAAGCGGGGCGCAGCAGCAAGAGGGGGAGGGATGCTAGCAGGCCATGAAGCATCCATTGCTGCGGCTATGGCTGAGAAATTCGCAGCTGCAATGGGCTCTGCGGTTAGAAACGCATGTTTCCAGTTTGAAGAGCTTACCCGTGAACTGCTGGAAAATTCATGCTCCCAGTTCGAGGAACTGTCTGCACGTTTGGCTGAGAATGCAGCTGCTCAGTTTGAGGATGTTGCTAGAGAATTGGCAGCGAACTTCGTGGCGAACCAATATGTGAAGAGGCGTAGGGGGTAGGTAGACCTCTTCTTGCTGATAGTGGATGTAAGTAGACCTACGGTACTTACAAGAAAACTCACTTTTTGCTAATAGTGGATATGGCTGACAAATGTGATTGTCTAATACCTATCACATTCTTTCGTGGATATAGGACTTGGGTTGAGAAACTTTTCCTAAAATTCAAGAGAAAATGCTAAAACATCACTTGTGAATCATTAGAAAGTGCCACAGTACGAGCTGATGGCCATATGAGGCTGGATCAGCACACCACATGTGGAGCAAACACAAGCAAACATTGAAACCTGGCATTTAGAAATTAGCCACTCGTGGGGCAAAACACAAATGGAACATACGGTATACGTTCTAAACCACACCCCCATCAGTATCTCCTCCGCCTCTTGTGATCCTGCCCGGCTTTCCACGACCCAGCAAACTCTCTAGCAGCGCTCCTGAACTGCGCACAAGCCCTTTCGGCCATGTCAGCCACCATCCCCTCAAACTCACCACAGGCCTTCTCCACCCATTCCTGTGTAAGCCCCTCGAAATCCGCAAACGCACTCTCAATTGCCTCGTCCATCACAGCACCCAGGCCTTCGGCATCCATCAGGCCTGCCCTGCCGGCCGCACGACGAGCACGCAAGTGCGAACGCATCCCGGGATCGACTGCAAACCCCTCTCGCTCTCGCCACCCGGACCCCCACCTGCCTCTCCTCCAACCTGTGGGTCCCACACCTGCTGCCATCCTCCTCCCCCCTCGGGTAATGGGGGGGGACATCCGCATGTCATCTTGTGGAGAAGGAGGGGATGCCAGCCCATCATCCCCAGCAGACGCTGGTGACGTCAGCTTGTCACCTCCAGCCGAAGCAGGTGACGTCAGCCTATCGTCTTGAGCAGCAGGGGGGGGCGTCAGCCTCTCAGTCGGAGCAGAAGGAGGAGGAATCGACCGTTTAGCCCGAGGAGAGAGTGGGATTGTGGTGGCAAGCAGGGATTGCAAGTAGCTTCTGCTTGAATCGTTGCTGCTGCTGCTGCTGCTGCAGCTGTTGATGCTGCTCTGGCTGCTGCTGCTGTTCCTGTTGCTGCTCCCACTGCTGTTCCTGCTGCTGTTGCTGCTGCTGTTCCTGCTCCTGTCCCTGCTGTTGTCCCTGCTCCTGCTCCTGCTCCTGTCCCTGCTGCGACTCCTCCTGCAGCGCCTCCTGTTGCTGGTGCAGAAGTGGTAGACACAGGAGTTACTGGCGCTACTACCGGAGCAACACCACCACGCAATGGATTGCTGGCGCCGAGCACTGCCAATGCCAAAGCCCCAGCAGCAGTCGCTGCAGCAACAGCTTGCCCAACAGTTGCTGCCGCCCCAGTCGCCCCAGGTGCTGATGCTGCTCCGGCTTTAAGTGGCAACGCAGCAACTGTACTCGGGGTGTACAGTGCAGAGAAATTTCGGGCAGCTTGGGGAGCTGGAGAGAGATATTGCTGTGGTGCCATAGCTGCTGCAGTGGGCAGGGTTGGGAGAGCTGGGGAAGGATACTGCAGAGTTCTCGCGTTTGCTGCAGTAGGCAGGGTTGGGAGAGCCGGGAACGAATACGCTTCAGCGTCATCGAGAGAACCGTCGAGCGGGTTCAAGTCGTCTTCACTTGAGTCGCCTCGTTCCCTCTCTCGCTTTGGTACTGCTGCTGATGCTGCAGGACGGCCTGTGAAATGAGCAAACGCATAGAAAATATGGGGAGGGTACAGAGTAACATTATTCCAGGGGATAATACAGGCGCGACATCAAACAAAAGGAAAGAAGAACTATACGTGGCACGCACACGCGCACAAAAACTATACAGGATGGATAATTCTCGCGCTCGTACCTCGCGATTTCGGCGGTCGACCGCGACGCGGCCGAATCTCCCCCCTCGCCGAGCGCAAGTGAAACTCATCGCGCTCCATCACCTGGTCCATCAACACATACCACTCCGGCAGCTGATCCTTCGAACTGACGGCTGACCGGTCCAGCCGGTTCTGCAGCCGGTAGTATTTATTCTTCATGCGGATGAGCTTCGCCTTGACGGCCGGCTGCGAGTGCCGGAACTCGGGAAACTTCCGAAGCAGCAAGGCGATTAATTCGCGGTAGTAGTTGGAGCCATGGACGATGCGCATGCCGTCGTTTTCGCGGTCGAGCTCGACGAAAGCGGTGACCAGCTGCATGGTTTCAGTCGGGCTCCAATGCTGCCGCACGCCGTTAACCGCGCGAGCCAGATCGGCCGCGCTTCGGCGCTCACGAGCGATTTCTCTGCCGTTGACGTCATTATTGACGTCATTGTCATCGTTATCGTCGTTGTCATCGTCGTCAGCCGAGTCGTCATGATACCGCGAGGAGAAGATGGGAGCGTTTAGGTAATCGCTCGGCAGCAAGCTGTTGTTGCTCGGCGACGGTGAGTCTTCTTGAAATTGCATGATTGATTGTCCGTTGAGTATATCAAAGACAGCCTCCAATCCAAAATGCGTTTTCCCTACAAAAAGCAACTAGGAAAATCGTTCCGATAGGAAGCGACGAACGTCGGCGTCGCTGGCAGTTCTGGGAGAACGAACCTAGAAGGTCAAGGAGGAGGACGTTCCTAGTAACAAACTGATCGCCAGCAAACCGTTCCAAAAAGAAACTGATTCAAAGAAAGCAAACAGTTTCTAGGAGCAAACCTGAGCCTACTGCCTGGCAAACTGATCAAACTGATGCCAAACTGATTCAAACAAAAGAACGCAAGGAACGCACACAAGGAACGCACACAAGGAACGCACGTAAACGCACCGCAACCCTAGGGTTTGAAGGAGAATAGCAGCAGCTCGGCTGCCGAGGGGGTTGGGTTTGTGCTCAGAAGGGACCAAGGTCGAACGGCCAACTTTGTTCGGTCTATTACTGTGTTTGAGAACGGTGCGGTGTCATGGAATGGGTTGCAGCGTGGTGAACGTAGGTTGGAGCTGTTTTCAAGTTATGTCCAGTTAATGATGAAAGCACGGTATTCTTTGGTTTTGCGCGATAAACAATGTTACAGAGTGGTATCTACTCCCCCTGCTGGGATGCAAACCACACCCAACTTGCCGAAGCGATTTGGATGGGGGGAGAGGAACGAACCTCCCCACAACGACAAACTTTGAACCCAACCGAAGGCGAACGTTGGCGCAATAAGGGTTCGTATCATGGTTGTGATTGATCAGTTGTCTGCCACGGGTTCTAGGTTCGGTCTGAGCGCGACGAGAGCAAGCAAAAGTAGTTCGTGTGTCGGGCACGTAAAATGCCCAATAATGCCTAGACGAGTTGCCAGGCCGAAACCAGCGATGCGAAGTTACAAGTTCACTCGTCGTCAAAGGGTGTGATCGTCGCTTGCTGAAGGAACGCTGAGCCCGTGCGACGAGGGGATAGCCTTGCTAGCCATGACCGTTCACAAGCAGAGTAACCAGCTTGCATTTTCGCCCATGCGATAGACTGGCGAAAACTAACCTTGTCATGCCAGTTTCGCGAATCGCATTGTTCCTCCCCTCCCCTCCCACATAGCAGGGCTATCGTGCTTGCTCACCTATTTCTTCTGGTTGTGGATGCCTGATATTTTAGTTATTTAGGTCACCAGAAAGGCTAAAAGCGTTAGCTTAGGCCTCCAGAAAGGCTACGCTGTCGAAATTACGACCTCCTTGTGCTGCGTTTGTTAGCATTTACCAGCATTTTGCTCTGACTGTTCTAACTGAATAATGGAGCCTAAGTCGGAGGTCGTGTCTCCCACCAGTAATCCCCAGAATCCATTTGAGGAGCCTGAGGTAGAGTTAGCGTTATCTGATCAAGCGACGCCTGATTTAGTATTATCTGGCGAAGCTACAGCCGATGTAACTGCATCAGATCAACCAACGGCGGATATAGCTGCATCAGATCAACCAACGGCGGATATAGCTGCATCAGGTCAACCAACGGCGGAGACAGCGGCATCAGACCAACCAACGGCAGATATTGCTGCATCAGATCAACCAACGGCAGATATTGCTACATCAGGTCAACCAACGGCGGATGTCGCTGCATCTGACCAACCAACGGCGGATATTGCTGCATCAGATCAACCAGCGGCAGATATTGCTGCATCTGACCAGGCTGCCGCTGATATTACCAGCACCAAGGTCATTAATACAAACGAAGCATCTGCGAGGCACGGCGGAGTCAATAGCGAGGGAGCTTATAGAGCGGAAAACGTCCATTCGGAACCCCCTCGGTCATCGTTCCGCGAATCGAATCTAGTGAACGTGCAGGGGTCGAGCCTATGGTCGCCCATGGATGTTCGGCGGCTGCTCGAGGCGCACGCGGCGCTCGAGGAGGATTTTCACGCCGTACCCGGTGCAAGAGGCACCTCTTATCATAAAGAGTTGCTCAACCTCCTTCGACAACAGGACCCGGGATTCCGACACTCCGCGGACGCGATAAAAGCTAAGCTAAACAGGCTTAAATTGAATTACGAGAACTTGAGGGACCGGCTGGAATGGGCTGACCGGCTGGAACAATCCGAGCCTTCGGCAACGGCTCAGGATTTCGCGGCTCGGCTACGAGCGGCCGACATTCCCGATCGCCTGCCCGAGTGGTTTGTGTTGATGGACCCGATCATGACACGTCAGCAGGATCGACGGTGGACGCGTTTGGGCTACGTTTCAAGGGACAGTCGGGGTCGGCGGCGTGAGAGTCGGTTTGACTCGCCTGTGGATGATCGACAGCGCTCGTCTGCTCTCTTGTTGGGCATCGCGAGAGCGATCACTGCTGGTAGAGCAGCAGCAGCAGCAGCAGCAGCAGAAGGAGGAGCAGCAGCAGCAGGAGCAGCAGCAGAAGCAGCAGCAGCAGGAGGAGGAGCAGCAGCAGCAGCAGCAGGAGCAGCAGCTGCTGCAGCAGGCACGAATGCAGGAGCAAGCACGGCCACAGCAGCAGCAACGTACGCAGCAGCGCTGCTGAAAGTGCGTGCAGCAGGGGCGGGAGCCGTTGCACCAGCAGCTGGAGCAGCAGGGCAGTCGAATCCCCCACA